TCAGCTTTCAAGTGACTTTATGCTGTCTCCTTGATTGACTTGCCGGTTTTAATACTGTAAATTGGGGGATTGCGTGTAATGCATTCATGCTGTCCTTGTCTGGAATGAAGCAGGAACATAATTTATGGGGATATTCTCATCTCAGCCTTTGAGGAATTAGCTTCAATTAACTCTGTTGGGAATTGCATGTGTCGGGTGTCAGAAAGCCATCAAGTTTTCTTTAGAAATGCCGGCTGCTGTATGCACTTCATTCTTTGGCTGTCTGAGGGGCTTTAGCAATGGATAAGGATTCAAAGCTTGGGAAATGCAGATCTGGGTGACCAAGTTTCACAGGGTTAATGCCACGCACAGATGATGGACAAGACTGTAGCTGAATACATTGCAGGTTGTTATAATTTATAGACCTTCAGCATGTTGGGGAGAGAGGGTTTGGGGAGGGTGCAGTAGCTTGTGAACCCAGAGTGCTGAAAGAGCAAATACAACAGAAGACACGGGCTTTAAAATAAGATCTCTCCAGATAAATCTTTCTGACATCCATGAGAATTAGGAAGGACATAAATTTCAGGCAGAGTGCAGCCAGTGCTTCTGGATCTGAGACCTTTAGGTTGTGATCTGTGCGTCTGTGCTGCTGCCCAATTTGAGGCCAGCCCTGGAGAAGTGGGGTGGTAAGTGTGTGGGAGCGGGATCCCAGAAGTTTTCAGTGCTTGGGTGCTGTGGCAGAGTCCGTAGTGGTGTTGTGTCACTCCAGGGTCCTGCTCAGCTTCGGGAGGCTTTGCCACCATGCGATGGGCAACTGGAGGAAGGTGGCTGAATCAGACAGTTTTAGGAATGGGGAAAAATCACGGCTTTGGAGAAAGAAGCCTTCTGGAAGAAGCACACCCAACCTCCTTGCTGTTTGCAAGATAAGAGCATGCTGGGGATCATTTCCCCTTGTCAGACACTGCAGACTCAGATGGGAGAAGCTCATCATTGGATTAAACCCAAGACCCGGTGTCTCTTGCTTGTGTGATGCTGCTTGTCACCCTTGCTGAAACGGAAGGGATGCATGGCCTGCCAGACTTCATTAGGCAGCTGGATCAAAATACAGCACAGGAGAGCTGTGAGGTTCAAACAGCCCAAGCAACGCTCCCTGTGCCTTGGCTTGCCAGTGATGACTCCGTATTTCCCCTAGCAAGCATCATTTTAAATCCAAGAAGAGTGAAGGGTGCTTATTTTCACTCTTAGCACACATTCCTCAGCATGTTTCTAATTTCTGCGCTAGTGGAGACAGAATCAGGCAAAGATGTCTGGTGCTTCTGGAAAGCCCAAAATCCCCCCTCTGCCCCCACGCCCCTGATTATCACTTCATTATCTAGCAGCCACTCGCCAGATCAGACACAGAAGTCATTTTGTGGCTGGTGCTGGCAAACTGTTTCCCAGCAATGCATTTCTATCTAAACGGTTAATTCTCTATCCACAGCTTATCCCAAAGATTAAAAAACCAACCAGGCTAGATCTGAGCAAATCCAAAGCAGGAATCCTAATCAGTCCTGTCGCTAAAAGTGCATTAGTATGGCACGAGAGAGAGCATGGCTTTCTTCCAGCAGATACAACAATCACAGCTCATTTGGGCGGGGAATTTTTCTACTGCTGTGTATTGACACAAAGGAGCACTTAGCTTGATAATGCCTCTTGGCTGCTGCCACAATCTGAATATTAAGAACAAATTAAGGTGTAAGATTAAACTCTGGAAGTTGTTACCTGTTCACAGTGAGGTAACAGTTGCTTCTTTAGCTTTTTCACACCAAAATATTGGCTGTCAGCACTTGGAGTTTAAAAATAAAATTAAGCTCCTACCTTACGCAGGAAACAATCAGGATCTCAAGTCTCTTGTAATATTTCTGCTGCGGAATTTCTAATCTGCAATTAAATCTGTCATGGGCTGTAATATGACTGACTGCAATCCCCATGAACTCTAGCTTGTCAGGGTGGTTTACTCATGCAGGCAGTTCAAAGCGTCACAGATATGGCAGCTCGCATAAATTGAAAGCCAGCTCAAAGTTTGTCACGGCCACAAAAATCCCAAGGCTGGAGAGGCTGACACTGCTGCCAGTCGTGGGTATCGCTGTGCACTGGGTCTCTGCTGTCTGGGCTGGGCAGTCTTTGGGCTGGCCAGCATTGCAACTGGGGTGGCCAGTGTTGTGCACCGTGACCGTGGTCACACCACCAACCAAACTAGAAGTCCGTGCTGTTGTGGGGAATGGGAAAGGAGGCAGCAATTGCCATACTTCCCCAAAGTGTAAGTTGTGTTGAGACTGAGTTAGAAGTGAGTAAACTCTGCCTACACTACCCTTAACAACAGTATTGACAGCCATAATTGCAGGGGGACGTGTAGCTGGGACGAAAGATGTCTCTCTTGGGTTACAGATGGGGCTGGTGATAAATCTGGCCAAACATGGTGCCTTCGTAAATGACCTCGGTGCTAAATGCAGTGTAGTCAAACCTGCAGTCACTGTGGCACTGGGAGGAACCAAGAGAAATGAGCAACAGAGGAGATCAAGACTTGCTTTGGAAATACTTAAGCTAAACAACATGGCTAAAAATAACCTTCTCTTTAATGAGATAGGGAAGTTGGAAAAAGCATGGAGAAATTTTGGTAGAAGATCTTATGAAGGATGAATTCTAGGAGATGGCAGCAAAACTGCTGGGTGATGGGCTAGGTTGTATGTGCAGATAGATGCTCTGTGCTGGGGAGAACATGAGCTGCAAGGCCTTCTCTGATGAGCTCGTTTGATCCCACCAGAGCATCCGTGTCCCTTTCTTGGCACCCACCCATGGAGACGTGGTGATGAGTGGCAGGAATTCAGAGAATAGCATCGGCAACATGCTGGAGCTGAGGAGACTGATTTATGTGGTGATGCTGACATCAAGCTATGTGCGTAGCTTAGCTAAGCACTGGTCTCCACATCAGCTGAGGAGTAGGTGAGAGATTAGGCAAGAGCCTGCAGTCATCTGAAAGCCTGAAGTACTGGTGAGGAAGAAGGGATATTTTAGGTGGTGAGAGAGATAATGAAGAAAACAATGGTGTGGTTAAAAAAAAAAAAAAAAAAAAAAGAGAAAAAGTATGACGAGGACATCTATTAAGGCATTAAATAGCTTTCAAAAGGGAATGACTGAAGTCTCATAGTGTGAAATCTGGATACCACAGTACAAGTGTACTGTCAGGAATTGTTCCATGATGAGGATGGAAAGAAATGAAGTTTCCTCCCCTCTGTTTTGAAGGAGTGCCTTGCACCATCCTGTCCTACTCAGTGGTACCAGAGGATTGCTTGTTCTTAGCAGATCTCTGATAACATCAAATGAAAAATTTTGCTTCCAAAATACTGAGGTGACTTGGAAAGAGATCTCCTCTAGGTAAGCAACACATCGATAATACTTCAGTTATGTGTGTCCTGGCTGAGCTGGAGCACTCGTGACTTTAGCCTCTCCAGGGACACAGTGTCTAGATGAAATGAACTTTCTTCCCAGATTCCTTTTGGAAACTTGACTGTTTTGCTCCATAATGGTCAAGAATTGCTACAAATGCTACCAGCCACACAGTAGCTCAGCGTTTCTCCCAGCAACACAGATTTGCTGAGGCTACTGGAAATGAGCAGCTGGATTGGGAAATGCAGGAAATGTATCAGTATGTGGCTGGGCAGCAGTTTAGCAAATCTTGCCAAAATCTCTCTGGCTTCCTCTGTGTTTTCTGTCCTTTCATCTTCATTAACCTTTTATAACTCTGTCTGATTACTGCAGCATTCCCACAATTTCCTACCTAAATGTCACGCTAATAGCTTTGTTATGGGCAGCCAATATTAACGTTGGCCATTGCAGGGTTGTTAACATCTAAGAGAGTGATTGAGATGGGATGGAGCTGTCTGAGAGCAATGCTGACTGTCAAACCCTCACCGAGGTTGCGAGGAATGCATGTTGGAGGGGAGTGGGAGCATGTTAACAGAAATCACTGTATGTAATGCGCCTTGGTGGGTCTACCAGATCGCTGATAGCATTGTGAGAAATTCAACAGCTTCTGGAACTCATTGAACCATTGCATAAGTTGCCAGCTTTGCTCTTTTGCAACTGATTTTTGGGGCCAAGTTTAAAACAACAACAACAACAAAAACCCTCAAAAAATGTTCCTGCTTAAAAAGATGCTTGTCAGCTGCTGCAGTCTTTGTGAGCCTGGGTGTGGCTTTTTTTGGTATAACTCAGAAATTTCCATTGTCTAGCAGCTAGCTAGGGCATTAAATTGTCACGGATCACATCTTTTTCATCACACGTGCACAAATCTGGAAGATTAATTATATTCCCTTTTGTAAAACGCGGTATCCCAAGTGATTAGGGAAGAAATGAATCAAGAATATGAATTTAAGTACCTAAAAGCAACACAGCCATAGCCTGATTTGAAAGAAAACAGCTGCCAAGAAAAACAGTAAGGAAAAAATGTGGAGCAGCGTCTCTGAGGCTGGGGGAGGGAAGAGGACTGAGGATGCTCCCAGAAGAGTGTTTAGACTGACCTGAGGCCCTGACACCTTCAGATGGGATTTCATCAGCTCTTAGCAGGGGGAAGCTCATGTGGAGTTTCTCTAAGTGACAGGCAGGCTAAACTGTGGGCTTTGCAGTAGATGGTATTTTCCCTTTCAGTTAGGACTGAAAAAATCCTCGCATGTCAGTGATTGCAGCCTTGCAGCTAAGGCTTAATGAGTCTTTGCTGGTGTTAAAAGGAAAAGAGGGTGTCAGTGTGCTAGCTCCAGGAATTTATGCAGCATATTTTGTCTTCTGCTATTCCTGCGACGCAACTTCTTGCAGGCTTTAGTTCCTCCCTTGCGTTTTAAAGGCTCTGCGAGAGGAGGTGCAGTGAGGGCTGGGAGCACGAGCCCTCCCATCAGGGGCTCCCACGCAGGGTGTTGGTGCGGCGGTGCAAACCGCTGGCGGGGCACATTTGTTCAGTGGGTGCAGCAGCAGCGGGGCCGACGTGTGTTCCTGGCCGCAGCGGTGACCTCCAGCAGAGGAGCTGCAGCTACGTGGGTGGAAAAGGTGCTTTGCTTGGTGCAGGTGAGTCATGTTACAAGGTGCTGTCGTATGCAGAGGCCACGCTCCACATGTGAGGGGGAGCACTGAGTGAGGATCACAACAAATAATGAAAGAAGGCCATATTCAGACCAGTTATATCTTCAGGCTGATGCTGGGAGCATGTGGTTTTGATCCAGTATGTGCTTGGTCTGTTTTTATAACTAAGTCTCTTTGTCTGACCTCCTGAAAATCTTTGAAAGAGCATTAAAAATGGAAAAATAATGCAAAACACAGTCTTGCAAGTGTGTGCCAGCCCAGAGGTGGGAATGGGATGCTGGGGCTGTTAGCAGCAGTCAAGTTGTGATGCAAAATATCGCTGGGGTTTCATAGTGCCTGGCCCTGGTGCCCCTGCTGAGACCTGCACTATTTTCTTGCTACCACCAGTTCACCAACAAATGAGCCATGTCATCCACTCCTCCCAGCACCGTCACCAGCTCTCCTTTGTGCATTATGGCCAACCACTGACTCTTTGTTTTTTCCAGAACAAACTGCCACTGTTTGTCTAGAAAAGAGACGCAAACATATCAGAGCCCGAGTGGGAGACGTAACCATCTCCAGATGTGCGCTGCAAGTGGGATGGAAATGAAGTGTTCCCTGTGTCTGTCGGGGACAGGAAAGTGCCTAGGCTTAAACTGCAGTGAGGGACATCTAAGTCCAGGAAAAGCTTTGAAGGGTGAATAGGAGAGAGTCACGAGAAGCAGTTGCCCAGGAAGACTGGAGTTTCAGCCAATGGATATTTTTAGCACTGGGTTGGGCAATAAGCTGTAATTTGACCCTGGCTTGGGGGGTGAAATAGGAGACCACTTCAGGTCCCTTATGACCCCATTTGCTGTATTGTATTTATTTACTTGTGTTTATGTAGCATTTAAAGGCTCTTTTTTTGGGTTTATGAGTATCAGTTTCTGTGCACACACATATAGGCAAGGGGCAGGGGGTTCACAGTGTGACCAGACATATATCAGAGTGCTTATCAGTAACTATGTGCAGATAAGGGAGCTATAAAGCTCTCATTTTAGAGAAGAGAAAGTTTTCAAATGAGGCAGTGAGTGAGAAGAAAGACCAGCAGAAGTCCCACACTCCCTTCCCTCCCCTCTCATCCTCCTTTTCCCAGGGCTTATCTCACCTGGGCTCCATGATTGGTGGGACCCGTCCGAGAGCTGATATGACTCACGAGGATGGGAGAACATCAACCCAACAAGGGCCCAGGCACTTGTCCTGAGTTAATGAGTTGAGGTGGCTTGGGAAAGAGTCTGGTGAGCATCAAACCTGGGGGAGGGAGGAGTGAGATGGCTAGCTGGAAACTGTGGGAGATGTGGGAGGCTCCCCAAGCCTTTCATTGGCAAACCTAGGTGGCAAAAATGACTTGGCTAAGACCGCAGAAATCTATGATGTGACAGAGCTTTTACCTATGCGCTTTTCTCTCTGAGCTGCATTTAGGGAGAAGTAATGTTAGAAAACAGCATTGTCTTTGGCTATTTCTGCACCAGAACGTTTATTGCAAATATTCTGTGCAGGTATTTGGACAGTTTGTGTGAGCAGCCCGGGTGGGCTGTGATCCTCTGTGAGGCTGCACAGCTCATCCCAGCAGTGCCTGCTGCCAGCTCTGCGCAGAGGTGCTGGCTGAGATCTTTGGGATGAAAATCACAATCTATAATTGTAACACATCAGCCTTCTTAAACACAGAGAACAAAAAAAAAGAAAAGAGAAGAAAGAAATCTTTTTCTTCCTCCTGGGAGGAGCTCTTTATCTGATTCCTGATGATTGTTTTAGTGTCTGTGCTATTTTTGTAGCTGGAAGTGCAGTCTGAAAATGAGCAAGCAATGCTGAGAACCTCCGAGAAATTCATTACAAAAGTAGGAGGCCAAAAGTTGAGCAGGGACGTGGAAAGCAAACAATCACATGTTTTGCAGCCTCTGAATTTGATCTCCCTCTCTCAAGTCCTACCAGCCTTATGGCTCCTGAGCTCAGAGACAGCTGGGCTGGAGCAAACACCCTTGACACGGAGATCTGGTAGGCAGGATAAAGTTACTTGAACATCTTTGCCCCATCCCTGTCTAAGATGTCACATTTGGAGTCCATTATCAACTTCTAGGGCTTGGGATCCTTATGGCCACAAACCTGTAGATCAGAATTAACTCCTGACCTTTTGGGAAGTGACGGTGCTGAGCTGCAGAGTACAACACTTCACCACTTTGCTGCCCTAGCTTTCCAGGCTGGCCATGTGTATGCAGCGGCCCACCGCTGCCCTGAAATGTCAGAGGGAAATAACTCAGACAAATGGGCCCCTCTTTGCTCTTTTCCAAAATGGTAAGGGGTGCTGTGATAAATATGGGATACAGGGCTGTTTCACTTCTGCTCACTCAGAAAAAAGGGGGAGAGCTGCCAGTTTATTTTATTTTATTTTTTTTTTCGCACAGCATCTGAGAATCATGTGTTTGAAAATCTTGCAGAAGGTGTTTTTCTATTCCTATTTTATTTTTTTTTTTTGTAATGCACAATAATGCACAATCCAAAGCAATGATCTTTTGATGTATGACTGCTGACAGGTGCCCATCTGGTCCCCTGGAAGCTCGTCTTTCATGCCTCTTTTCCTCTTGCGTGTGAGATGGGGTGAAGCAGCGTCAGGCTGGCGCGTGTGCTCAGGGCACAGCAGAGCGGCTCTGCCGGGTGTCTGCAGCCAAGTGGGACGCGGGATGCAAGATTGCATCTCTCCACAGACGGTTGTCATGCAACCGAGTCTGCTCATCCCTGCTGGTGTCAGAAATGTTGCTTTCTGCGTTGCTTGTGCATGCAGGGAAAGGGGGAGAAGAAAAATGACACTGCTGCAAAGGCAAGAATGTGTTCATCACGCACGTGAACGCTGTGGCCCTGTCTTTGCTGGGTATGGGACATCCATGCACTGCCAGCAGGGAAGAGGTTAAATTTTGATAGTATTGCTATTAAGCCAGGAAAAGTTTGACCTCTGCCTGTTCTTTCCTTCTAACTGAATTTGGGAGATTATGACAAAGACTGTGTAGGCGTGTTCCCAGTGTTTAGTTTCCAAAAGATGGAAATATCATCTTCCTTGACCTTCAGTGGTTTTAGCAGCGGGAGCTGGAGCGCTGCGTTCTTGGCGCAGGGGCCATGGTGCAGCCTGAGAGCCCCCAGCTCCTGCACCCTGCTTTCCTCCCACCGGCTCCGCAGCCTCCTCGCTGTCGACGGCAGGGCAGGGTTTGCTGTAATTATGGCAGCGGGGAAGCCGGGGCAGGAGGCAAATCTTGCTGCATCTTGCTTTCCTGCTGAAAGTGATTTATGGCATTTTTGGGGGTCACGGAGAAGCCAAAGGGTGCTCACACGCTTTCTCTCCCTCCTCTATGTGTATATATAAATATATTTGAATGCTGCTACTGCTGGCTTCTGAATGTATTAATATTTGTTTAGCCCTGGATTCATCCCACCCTAAATTTGCCTGAGGTGCCTGTCTCCGGAGCACAGACATACTTGGGCTCCCTCTGTTGTCGATGGAGCGAAGCACCTGCGGAAGGTGACCCAGCTCTCAGGTGAGTGGTTCAGTTAATTTGCTTCTGGTTTATTCCAATCCAGCAAAGTGCCCACAGGCAACTGGGCAGGACCCACACGTCCTGCATGGCCGGGAGCCTCAGCTGGGCCCTGCCCTGATGGGTGCTGAGCATACATGGGGCAGGAAGGTGGCCCTGCCCGAGGGAGCTTGTGATCTGATGGTGCAACTGCCCAGATGGGTGCAAAGCCAGGAGCATCAGGTCACAGAATCATAGACTCATGGAATGGTTGGGGTTGGAAGGGACCTTAAAGACCATCCAGTCCCAGCCCCCTGCCCCGGGCAGGGCCCCCTTCCCCCAGCCCAGGGGGCTCCCAGCCCCGTCCAACCTGGCCTTGAACCCTTCCAGGGAGGGGGCAGCCACAGCTGCTCTGGGCACCCTGGGCCAGCACCTCACCCCCCGCACAGAGAAGAACTTCTTCCTCACATCTAATCTAAGCCTACCCTCCTTCAGTTTAAAGCCATTACCCTTCATCCAATCACTACATGTCCTTGTAGAAAGTCCCTCCCCACCTTTCCCGCCCCCCCCTTTAAGCCCTGGGAGGCCGCTCGAAGGTCTCCCCAGAGCCTTCCCTTCTCCAGGCTGAACCCCCCCAACTCTCTCAGCCTGTCCTTACAAGGGAGGTGCTCCAGCCCCTCAATCATCTTCGTGGCCTCCTCTGGACCCACTTGAGCAGGTCCATGTCCTGATGTTGGGGCCCCAGAGCTGGACAGAGCACTGCAGGGGGTGGTTCTCATGAGAGTAGAGTAGAGGGGGAGAATCCCCTCCCGCAACCTGCTGCCCACACTTCTCTTGATGTAGCCCAGGACATGGCTGGCTTTCTGGGCTGGAGTGCACATTATCAGGTTGTGCACATTCTTGTCAACCAACAGTGCCAAGTCCTTCTCCTCAGGGCTGTTCTCACTCCATTTTATGTCCAGCCTGTACTTGTGCATGGGATTGACCTGACCCATGTGCAAGACCTTGCACTTGGTGTTGTTGAACTTCATGAAATTTGCATGGGCGCATCTCTCAAGACTCTCAAGGTTCCTCTGGAGAGCCAGATTAGGGTAGAAGCAGAGGAGTTCATGCTTGTCTGGACCAGCTGAAGAAGACTGAGGTCCTGAAAGCACCTGCCTCATACTCCCAATTCCTGTGACACCCCCTTGTCCATTGGTTCACAGTAAAGGAGAGTTGGAGGAAGGGCAGTGAGATGCCTTCACAGAAGGCTCTGGGGTGACATGTCTGCAGTGGGAAGCTGTCAGCCCAAGCCCAATGAGATGGTGGTGGGCTTATTTTAGAGCCGCTCAGGTAGGGAAGCTGGCATCTGGAGAGCAAGGAGAAATGAAACAGTGAGGAGAGATGAGAGATAGGGCAAGGCACACCTTGAGATGAAAGACTTGTGGTTTGTGTTTGAGGAGTAGTGACGTTCTGTGGAGAGGAGGATTTATTTCTTCATTAACTTGGTGCCTGAACAAGTTTATCTTGAAGCACTGAACAAGTGTCATTAATGATTCCTTTGAGCAAACAAGGCTCTTTGATAATGCCTACCCTCTTTTGACCTTTATTTTAATTTTGAATGCTACTAATTAACACTGATCATTCATTCAGACACTAAAGTGGTTGTTCCTGCTAAATGCAAGGCAAATGCCTTGTGGTCAGGAGCAAAATGGGGGCAGGCTTCTGTAAGGAAACTCCAAGGTTGCGGGACACCATATGCAAACCAGGGACTGTTATATTCAAACAGGGGAGTTTCCTCTCTGGTCCTTTAGGAGGACCTGGGAATAACACATCCCATAGGAAAGGAAGATGACCTGTGGAGGCAGTGCCAGGACTCAGGACCATCTAAACCTGTTTTTTTTTTTTTTTGTTTTCTTCTGAAGTGTCTCATTTTTAGCTCCCTTGGCAAGTGTGTGTGGTGGCTGCTGAAGAGCACAGTATTTCTCTGCTGCCAACCCCTTCCCCATTATTTCTCAGAGTGCTGACATAGGATGCGCAGCCTCTTGTCAAAGGGAATGATCCTTCCTGCTCAGAGGAAGGTAGGAAGGCTCATCCACGCTATGCATCAATCTCAGCCACCTCTCCAGAGAAAACCTGCCTGCCCACCAACCCCACCAAAAATCCTCAGACCTGTGCTTGGAGCTTGCCTTCACCCAATTTGTCCAAACTGCAGGCAGAGAGGCAGGGCTCAGTTGGTGCCAGAGGGTGCCTGTGGCCAGATCTGGGATGAGTTTTGGGGAGCAGGAAGAAATTTTACCAAGGGACAATAGGGGTCAGGGTCTCCTTTCTCTGCAGAAGTCCTACCCTTGTGTTTTATCAGTTGGAGAGCTAATGGAGATTGAGATCTCCTAGAGTGAGAATTGCTCCCTGGTGCATCCATAATGGGGATGCTGGTGGTGTGAAGGAGGAACTGGGCATTTGCCCACATTTCCTACACAGGTTTAGGAGACAAAACAGGATTCTGGGCTCCAGCTTAAAACCCTCTCTGTTTCATATGAGTATGAGTAACCACTATGGCTAGGTAGACTGTGTCAAGGAGATAGAGGCTAGGGATTTGGAGACCAAAATCTTCTTTTGGCTATAGCAGCGCAATCGCTGGTGCATCACAGCCAGTGGGGTCAGTTGGGTGGTATCTGCAGACAGGGCTGAAGCCCCACTATAAACCTCTTATGCGACTGGAAGCAGCTCTGCCAGGGCTTTAGTTCCCCTGCTGAGGAATGGGGCTACCAGACTTCCCTGCAGAGAGTCCTGGATCTACACCACCAAAGTGATTTTTATCTCAGGTCTCAGAGAGACACGTAGGTTCACCCCAGACCTCCATGAACCATGTGTAATCACAGCTCTCTCCCAAAATACTTAGCAATTTTACCAACTGGTATCTGGCCCGTTTTCTGGAAAGAAGAAGCAAATGAGACTGAAAACTTAGCAGCACCAGCATCACTACTCAATGACAGGACCCATCTATTTTGATCCAATGATGACTGCACTATCCAGCAGTCTGCCATCATTGTGGTCCCATGATATTTCTAGCACAAGCAAGGAATGATAAAGCATCCGTTGGCAATGAATGTTGAGCCTGTAACAGCTTCCAGAGCAGGCCGGCAGATATAAATATGACTTCCTAGTTTCCACACACTAACATCTCAGCACAGCTAAACAAAACCTCTTTTCTGTCCACCACGAGACTTTTTAGAACCCATGGAACAATCCATTTTGCACAAATCCATGTCTGCTAGAAACTCAGCCTGCCTTTTGCCATGCCACCTTAGCCTGTAAGTCCTATGAGTCTGATTTTAAGCAACACAGTAAAGCAAGATAGTTTAAACTTTTCATTCAAGAGCTCTACCACATCAGAGGGCAGCAAATGAATCACGTACATTCCTTTATCTGATGGTGTGTTTGTGTAAAAGGAAGGACATGCAGTGAGGAACTTGCTGTTGCAGGGAATTTGTGTTTACATAAATTGCCAGCCCACATAGGTTTTTTTTTATCTCTACCATTCCCTGTATGTAAAATCCTCATTGGGAGCTACTTAAAAACCATCAGCATTTAAATAGTTTACAAAATGGAGCTGCAAAGGGGGAGGAAATGCATGATTGCAAAGGGATGCAGTGTTTAGGGAGCTGGTTTTCTGGTTCTAAGTGTTTTGGTTTTGTTTTTTTTTAATGCGGAAAGAAGGTTGTATGTTAAATGTCCACGAAGGTACCCATACCTACAGACATCAGTAGCATATTATCTCTACTCTTGACAAGAGTTAATCTATTTATTATGCATCAAGACAATGCTGCTGGCCTTGAACTGTGCAAGGGGTCTGAAGCAGAGAGGATCCCAGATCTGCAACAACACTTAAGAACCCCCCTGAAGCCTTGAGATCCGGCTCTGAAATTCCACTGATTTATATGATTTGGCTAACTCCTGATTCCCACCCTGGTGTCTTGCTCCAAACATCTCCCATCAAAACAACTCCTGTACCCTCAGTTTCAGAGGCTCTTGTGCACAAGATGGCATGCTTGCCAAGCCAAGCAGTTCAAAGTTGGGGAATACCAGATATGACTTTGCTCAGGCAGCCCTGATTTCCTCTCCCTGCCCATGCTTTTCCCCTATGTCTGCCTGGGGCAACCTATCTCCCACTCATAGTTTCCTTGCCTGGTCCTGCCATTGCATCCTACCCAAATCCAGGTTTCCCTTTCCTCCATATGCTTATGCTTTCCTGAGCAGAGTTAAAAAGGGAAAAAGAAACCTCATCAGATTTGGGCAGAAGGCTCACTCCTGATACAGGGACTCACTCATTTCCCACCCTTTGCTTTCTGCAGCAGGGAAGGCCAAAGAGAAGGCCATCAGAGTGTCTTAGGGTAGGTTAAATCAGGCAGTTTTTCTAATCCTGTGTATGAAGCAGGGGAATCACTGTCTGCAATAACCAACAGTTTTCATCCCCACCTCAGGCTGATGCTGTGTGCAAAGAGCACTGTCTAGGGCACATGAAAACAGGGTTTGTGACTTGGAGGTGTCCAGCAGCCTTACAGACCAGCAGCCTAATGCCATGGCTCTACGCCTCGCATGGATTAAATCATCGACGCCCAGCTGTGTCCTGGCACACACACACCCCCTGATTCTGCCTCAGCACAGATGCAATGGGCCCAGCAATGGACTCATTTCCTTAATTGCCCTCATTTTTCTCACGTATTCTTTGTATCTCATTCCCATTAAATGCAGGAGTGGAAGAGCGTGTGCCGTATCAGCAGTAGGAGGCCAATGATAACATCCAGGATGGGCATGGGGGTTTCCTTTGCCTCTGTTGCCCCTGAAAAACTGTAGATTGCTGCCAGGGTTATTCATTCATCACCCGTACTGCAAACAGTAGAAGAAGCCACGTGCAAAGGTTGTGGCTATAAATGTTCCTGGTGAGCACCGTGGTCTGGTATCTAACCACAACGGGACTTGTGCGAAGTGGCAATGGCAGGAATCCAGAGCCCCCACTGTGGTTGCACTGCTGCATCCCAGGA